GATCATGTTATATATACCCATTATGAGTAACCTTGCCCGCTCATTCAAGTGCTACAGTATGTATATCTATACTGAAAAAAAAAAATCAATCCAAAAATCAAAAAATAAAAAAATAAAAAAATAAAAAAATACAAAAATCAAAAAATCAAAAAATCAAAAAATCAAAAAATCAAAAAATCAAAAAATCAAAAAATCAAAAAATCAAAAAATACAAAAATCAAAAAATCAAAAAATCAAAAAATCAAAAAATACAAAAATCTAAAAATACAAAAATCTAAAAATACAAAAACTGTTTTTGTGCTGTCGCGTCTGGGCCGCCGTATTATTTAAATTAAGCCCATTTTTTCGTTTAATTAGCCGGCGAATTTCTCCCGCGACGGTGCGAGACCAAAAAATCGCTAAAACTTTGAAACTAAATAAATTTTCAAAATTCCACATAGCATTTGTTTGTTGTTAAAGTAAATGTAGTTCACGGTAAAAGTTTCGAAGAAATTTATTTTTCGAGCCCCAAGTCAGTGGGCGGTTTTTAGAGACACACGCCGCTTAACAGTTGTGAAATTATTCATGCGAATAAACCAAGAATGGTTAAGGTTGTATTTTGAATGTTTCTATGTTGTGAATTAGAACCTGGATAATAAACCAGCTTATTTAACTTTTTAATTATTACTAGTGTCGCTGATCAGCGAACACGCGAATGTAAACAAATAGCTAAAAATAGGCCCAATTTGGAGATTTATAACTTTTCAGAAAATTTCTTGCAGACGAGTTTTATTCCTGATTACTTAACTTTAGTAGGTATACTTTCAAATTACATGCCTCTTGAACTTCAGACAGGTGCCACTTTTGAGCTATTTTAAGTAAAATATGAGCAATTTTCAGCTTCTGGTCGCTATCTTGAAAACATAGTTTCGTAAAACTATAAAAAAATCGTATTAAGCAAATAAAGTTGTTCAATCTCCATGAAAACGAGAGTATTAGTGTTAATCTTGCATGTGAACAATAACTGCAGGGGATAAACGCACCACAACGTTTTTAAAAAATCGATGAATTCTTGTAAAATTCCCCTTCATTTCCGGTCTGAAAATACTCTTGCAAGGTCAAATTTCAACATGGGCTATAACTCCTATAAAACAGAAAGTTGAAACGTTCTGAAACAAGCTCGATTAATATTGACCAAAGTCTAGTTCATACGAAAAATATGAGCTAAATCTATTTTTCCTTCCCCAAACCAGTGGGTGGATTTTACTGAGAGGCCCTCTTAATGGTGAAATAACCAGAACAAATTAATGTTTATCTTGCATGTAAAGGGGGAGGGGGGCAAGGGGGAGGGGGGGGGGTCGTCACGAAATCACGAAGATCATTTTTAGATTTCACAAGTCACGAAAAACAAAATTTCATTTTCACGAATAGTTAGAAACACAGAAGCGTCACAAATTAGTCTGATACCATTTAACGATTTTCTAGACAGCAAAAAACACTTTTTACTGACTTTAACATTAGAACTTTTAAAAGGACTATGGACCGGAAATCATTGCGGGGCATTACGAAACATTACGAGCGTCTTACGATGGTTCACGACGTCTACGAGGAGGTACGAAGGTATAAGACAACAACGTTTACGATGAAACGAAGAAACCTCGAGAAAGACAACCGCGGGAAGCAAATTTTTCATTTTTTAAACCTTAATATTAAATTTGGGTCGAGCCTTAAACGTAAACATTCACAAGTTAGGGTAAAATATTGGTAAATTCATTTAGCTCTTCACGATTCATGGCACGCATATTAATCACGATTCACGGAATGGTATTTCTTCAAATCACGAATCACGAAGCACGTATAATTGCTAATCACGAGTCACGAAAATACCTTTGCCCCCATGTAAAACATTATTACTTTCAGGAAATTGTTAATTAAAGTTCACTCATTCGATTATTGGCCGCAAGCACGCTTACTTCCGGCAAACTACAAGACTTTTCAAGTTCCGGTTTTCGTTCTCGCCAGGGCCTTCGGCAACGCAGCGTCAGCCGTGAGGCCCTGGGACCGAGGGTGCCCCGGGGGGTAAATAGCCGGGCGGAATTAATACCGCTCCGTGCCGTTAGCTCGCGGATTAGGTAGATTATGTCTTGGAAATTAGACTGTGATGTTAATCAGTTGATACTTGTGGACAAATTTAGATATTATTGATATAAATCTTCCGCAGATTAATTTTTAAATTATAATCTTAATCACCGTCTGATTAATTTATTGTTACTAATTCATTTTGTTTAGTCTGAAGATGATTTAGTTACTGGACATTGCTGTGTATCAGTTCACAACTGTAGTCGTTCGAGAGGTGAATATTATTTAAACTTCAAAACGTTAGTTTTATTAGATGAAAGGAATCGAGAAATATTTTACCGCTATTTGATGTACAACCACGATTTTCAACAGTGTCCCCATCGACCTGAAATATCCACAACCCAGGATCTTGATAGTTTGATGTTGAAGCAATGTTGATAATGGCAAGAGTGCGAGAGTTTGGAATATTGAAATATCTAAACCCGTCACCTGCGTTAAAACCAGCCTATAGAATTAGAAAAAATTAAAACGACCGTCTAACAGTATAATTAGAACTAAGGAAACTTTCTTGTAAAAAAAAATATTGTCATTTACCTGGGCGGCAACACTGCTTGCAGTACCAAAGGTCCATTCAATTTTATTGTAGTAAAAAATTGAAAAGGAATTTATGCCATCTGTTGCCAATACGGTCTGAAATGTATTCTATAGGCAAAAAATTGACATCTTTGATTTCAGATAAAGTCCTGGTATGCTGAATTTCATTTCATATACAATCAAAATGGAAGATCCGAAAGATATCTAATGCATTACAGTTGATTTCACGAAACTTTGGCCACGCCAATTACGAGGTTGGTTGGGAATTTGGGAACTACAAACACGAGATCGTCAAGCTGATTGGAAACCGGCCAATCGAATTCGGAAGTTTCGCATCAAATTATCGAAATTCGTTATGAAATTCCGAACCAAGTTCGCAAGCAAGTTCGCAAATTGCAAACGATTTTAACGGTAAATTTTAAAAACTAAACTTATTGTATTAAACTTATATTATAATTTTAAACCTGAAATTATTATTATTATGATATTATTTATTATTAAATGAATAAGTTTAATACAATAAGTTTAGTTTTTAAAATTTACCGTCAAAATCGTTTGCAATTTGCGAACTTGCTTGCGAACTTGGTTCGGAATTTTATAACGAATTTCGATAATTTGATGCGAAACTTCCGAATTTGATTGGCCGGTTTCCAATCAACTTGATGATCTCGTGTTTATACTTCCCAAATTCCCAACCAACCACGCAACTGGAGCGGCCAAATTTTCGTGAAATCAACTGTAACAAAATACTAGAAATACATACATGCAGCAACCCCGCGGCTATATTCTCCAAACGTTGATTTAACATGAAGTATTAGCAATCGGCCAATGCAGGCTCGCGTTATATGTCAAGTATTGCCATGGCAACACAATAACTAAATATAATTTTTTATTTTAATTATATTTTTGCACAAAACGGAAAAATGGTTTGTAAGCTTTGATTTAATTAAATTAATGCAAAATTTAACTTGAATCGTTTGTAAATGTTTTGTGATGTTCATTCAACTATTAAAACTGCTTTTGTCGAATACCGACAAACTGTTTTTATTAAGGGACTGGTCATAAAGTAACTGCTAGGGTGGGCTGGAGGTAAATCACAATTTTGCCAATAAGTTCGGTGACCCATCTTAGGATGTAGATAAAAATTTCAAAGCCCATCTAATCTTACAAAAAAATTTTCATGACCCACCCAGGCTAAATTGGGAAAATACACTTTTATAATAAAAAAAACTTGCAGGTATGAACATTGTAAATATACACGGCACTGTTTGACATACATAATTCCACCAAGCTTGACAAACACATTGATACTGAGCTGCTCTCCAGTTGCATGGTTGTATTTGCTGTGATTCGACCACTTCTTGTTGTTGTATAAACAAAGTACTGGCTTCAGTAGCATCATTTGCATTTGATAATTTGGATAGTTTTGTTTACTTTTATTATTAATATCTTTATTTTTTGAAGTAGACATGCATGGCTTTTTGTTTGGTGGCCCAATCTTGGACGTGCAAAAAGATTGGCGGCCCATCGAAACTGCCCAAAGATTTTCCATGGCCCATCCCAAATCACTCCAGCCCACCCTAGCAGTTACTTTATGGCCGGTCCCTAATACAACAAAAAGTTCAAATTGTTGAGTAATTTATGTTCGGTCTTCAAAATAATATGCTTCCCCATACATTTTATGTATTTTTTCTTAAATGAGATAGGGTTATTTAGGAAACTTACAACTTCATTGGAAAGGAAAGCAGTGCATTTTTTAAATAGGCAAACAATTAAGGAACAAAATTCATAATTAAGTAATTTCACGATTTCCCATACAAATCAATTCTTCTCATTTCTTCAAACGAAAATTGCTTCAAAGCTCATTGTATGTTTTTGAAAATTGAAATCTAGCTTATCCCACTCCTGTCAAACGGCCATATTTTTGAGATCAGTGGGAAGTCCACGCATGAAGCATAGTCACGCGCGCGCGATTATTGATGAACTTTAGACGCCCGCGATTATTGATGAACTTCGCTAATGCCTTATTTTCCACGGGTGTAAATAGCCGAGCGGAATTAGTACCCTCGCTCCGGGTTGGCTCGGGGACTAAGTGATAAGTAGACGTGTAAATAAGAAATAAAATTATAAATAAGTAACTAATTACATCGAAGTAAGTATAATCCTTTAATGCCTCCATATTTGAAGATACGAACATTTACAATTATGAATAAATAATTAAAATTAATTTTAAAAAAGGACAAACAGCACACAAACTAATGAATAGTCTCTGAATCCAGATAAATGTCAATGTAACTGGTTGTTGTTATTATCTGTGAAATCGACTCAGCAACGATAATGTAAAAGTTTTGCGCTTGATTATTGTCATATCCTTGCATGGATTGCATGTTTCCAAAAATCGTGTGCATAAAATTGTTCTCATCTAACGAGTTAATATTTGGTACGAGTTTCATTGGAAAAAAATCTGTGATGCGTTCCAAAATTCAATGCAACATAGCATGTTTTACAGGATTTATGTAGTAGTTACCACAAGACGTACAATAAAATTGTGTTTTTTTTCCCAGTAAATCTTGCACCATTGACATAGAATGACCCACAAAGAATTTTAACACGAATTGCAACTGGTTGGCCATCTCGCTGTTTTCTAGAGCAAAATGCAGCCACATGTTACCCATTGGTTCTTTTATGACTTGGCTCTATAATCCTAATTGTTTATAACGTTGCGTTTTGATTTTCCACAACTCAATCTCCGTATGATTAATATTCTCAATTACTGTTTTCTTCCATTCATATTTGCTGAGAAAATTTCCAGACAGCAGAAAATTGTCCATATATATACTCCCACAAGCAATTGGATTCCATTCCCATCTATTAAGTCGTATCATGAATACCCTGCGATGTACACAGTCTTCACTTGCACGTATTAGTCGTTCCGTTTGTCTATTTCTGCTCCGACCGTCCAGAGACCAAGAAGTCCGCGTGCAGCTGAACCCGAGGTACCACAAAGTAAACCCAGACATACCCTAAAAATGTATTCTGTACCTTTTCCAATTTTGATTGTTGTTCTCAATTAAGTGTCCACAACTCAGCACCGTACAACATTTTCGGCAGAGCAATCCGTGCCCACAGCTTAGTCGCCACCAATGGACTCATCCGGTTAAATCTACATCCCAGATTTGCTAAACCAATACCGATAGTCTGACCTTTCTTCGCAGCCTCTAGTATTGGAATAAGGCTGGAAACGTCGGTGTGCCAATCTTTTCCAAGATTATGCCAGATACTTTTCTCCATGATTTCTTTACGTCCTATAAGCCACCTTCTGTTCATAATTGCCAATTATTTATCTCGTTTTTCGCCAAAGGTCAGCACAACAGTTTTTTTTCTCATTAAAAGTAAGTCTCCATTTTAGGCTACAGTGATGAACTTGTACAAGCATGTTATCAAGACCTCGTTTTAATCTTGACATTGACGTAAGATCGTCCGCAAACATTGGTGATCCCAAAAACAAATTTTGAATAACTATACCAGAGGATAGCTTTTCCAGCTCGCCTATCATGTCGTCAAAGAAGAGAAGAAATAGCCATGGCGATAATACTCCACCTTGTCGAACCCCCTGTAAGATATTATGCTGTCTCAAACGTTTTCCATTATAAAAAACGTAATCCTCCATGTCTGAGTACCAACCTTTTATTAGCCTCCAGCACTTTCCTCTAATATTTTCGTTGTGATATAATTTAAACAACATACCATTTATCCATACTTTATCAAATGCCTTTGAGACATCAACATGGCAGGCAAATATTTTATCGTTTTCCTCGCAACAATGCTTAGTTGACTCGTCAATAACAAATGAAGTCGTCAAGGCGTCACGCTCAGCTTGATAGGCGCCTTGAAGTGGGTGTGGTGGACATCTTGTTTTATTTTGAAGCCTGTTGAGCACCAAACGTTCGAAAATTTTGTTAAAAGTACAAAGAAGAGTAATTCCTCTACAGGGTGTATCAAAAAAAGTAAGACAATTTTGATATTGCTCTCAATTCCACAATTCTGTTCATGAAATATAATTTTTGATATGTATGGATTGCTTGAGCTCTTAAATTATAGAAAATATAAAAATTTTTGAAAATAGTAAATTTTTCTATCCAGGGGAGTGGTCAACTTTTGCTCCCTTAAAAGTGGCTTGCGCACGGAAATGACAAACGGTATTCTTTATTTGAGTTCATGTATGAAAAGTTCGCTATTTGTTGCATATATGATAAAATTTCGGCAGGATTTTTCCGAGTACAAATCCTCCGAAAAGCCTATGAAAACGTTACATTTTTCTCCTTTGGTTCTGTTCTTGCTTCATTATGAATTCATTTTTACTCCCATGAGAGTTCCATGGAATTTCCATGGAATTTGTGCTTTCGATTCTCTGTGCTGAAACGCATTTTCTCGTATGATGCCCCGTACACTTAGAAACGGCGATGCCACAATTTACCCCACAGCAGAGAGCTTTTATGGTATCAGAGTTCCTCCATAGCAACAACATAAACTTGGTTCGCCAAAGTTTCATGAACGAATCAAATATCCAGATGTACGATGCCCTTCACGTACGAATATTTATTACAATGTTAGGAAGTATCATGGTAACGGGACGAGTTGTAACTTGAACAAGGGTAATTCGGGTCGTCCAAAAACAGCGAGAAGTGCTGAAAACATTGAAGCTGTACGCAATGCTATTGAAGAAGCCAACGTTGAGCGTTTGAATGGTGAAAGGCCGCGGTTAAGTTGTCATCGAAACAGACTTGGTTTGTCTTCGGCAACCTTCAACCGGATAACACGTTTAGATTTGAGATTTCATCCTTATCAAATGATTAAACGGCACACGGTTTGGGTTGGGTTAATGGGAAATGGCACTGTTATCGGTCCCTTTTTCTTCCAAAACAACATTGATGGGTTAGATTACTTGCAGTTGATTGATGACCAAATTGTCCCTGTTTTACGGCAGTTGCCCCATTACGCAACAGGCGTAATGTGCCATTTCGTCGAGCATGGTGGGAACAGGACGGTGCTCCTTGTCATAGGCGAAGAGAGGTAACTGCTAGATTGACCAAAGTTTTTGGAGACCGGATAATTGCAATGAATCGTGCCGTGGAATGGCCTGCTAGATCACCGGATCTTACTCCGCTTGACTTTTTTCTTTGGGGTTACCTGAAGAGCAAGGTTTTCCTAACGCCACCAGAAAATCTTGCAGAACTTGAGCGACGAATCCGCGAAGAGATGAATGTACTCAGACAAGATCGAGCAATGATACGCCGTGCTGTTTTTGACATGGTTAGACGTGCGCAAGTTTGCACAGAATGAAAAGGAGGACACGTTGAAGACTAAGACAATTCGTTTTTTCTTGCCGTAAAATTTACCTTTGTTTTATACTCCAGATGTTAAATAAATGTCATTATTCAAAAGTATTTAAAAACATGCGCGAGTTTTAAATTTTATTTACTTAAAGAATTAAGATACATAATTGACACGACTCATTTGAAATCAAAATGCAAATGCAAATTTGTGAATTCATTCAAGAACAGCACCAACGGAGAAAAATGTTACGTTTTCATAGGCTTTTCGGAGGATTTGTGCTCGGTAAAATCCTGCTGAAACTTTATCGTAAATGCAACAAATAGCGAACTTTTCATAAATGAACTCAAATAAAGAATACCGTTTGTCATTTCCGTGCGCAAGCCACTTTTAGGGGAGCAAAAGTTGACAACCCCCCCTGGATATCAAAATTTACTATTTTCAATTTTTTTTATATTTTCCATAATTTAAGAACTCAAGCAATCCATACATATCAAAAATTACATTTCATGAACAGAATTGTGGAATTGAGAGCAATTTCAAAATTGTCATACTTTTTTTGATACACCCGGCCTGTATGATCATCGAAATTTGACGCACAGTTCTTCCTTCTCTTTGGAATTGGAATCTTGATTCCTAACTTAAAGTGTCTTGGAATGTGCTCCAATTCAATGATCTTATTATAAAGTATTACCAGCTTACCAGCCAGAATGTCCCGGAGTACTTAATATGTTCATACGTTATGCCATCATCACCGGGAGCTTTTATTATTTGGTAATACTGTTAGCACATCCCCGATTTCTTTCAAAGTTATCGGATCCTGAAAGATATCATCAAAGTCAGCTAAGGAGTTTTTTGTTATGTCACTAACCTCGATATCGATATACTCCCTGAAGTTATCATCAAAATTTGTATTTTCCTCAGGAGTTAAAAGTTTTTCATAGTAATTAGCCCACACATCTGCTATTTCTTCTGTGTTTGAGATAGTCCTTCCATCATTCGTTGTGAGCACATTAGTTGATCTTTTCTTCTTTCTACGTCGGTTTACATATTTCCAAAGCTTGATGTGATCAATCTCGGAAGCCTCGCTAAGCTCTTTGAAATCATTCTCCTCTGTCTTTCGTACCATTTTACGTCGTTCAGAAAATGAAATTTCTCTTGATCCGGAAAGAAATTTCTGGATAAATATTTCAAATTCATAAAAAATCTGTTGCGAAGTTTGGTTTAACATTTTTTAATTACCCAGGATTAAGCTAACTGGCGTTCGATTCAACAACCGATCCCAGGCAAATTAATAAATCTATTCAGGTTGCATAATTGTTTCTTTTTATGATGGCGCCGGGTAATAGCCTATACAGAGTGAGCTTAGTAAACTCATGGCCTTAGAGAAGGCTCACGACAGAAAGGCTATTTTGTAATGGAATCTCAATAGAGAATTTATGATCACCGAGCCAACGGCGCCGAGCGCCGTTCCGGGCGTAAGCCAGGGGTGAGGGTACTAATTGCGCCCGGCTATTTACACCCGGGGAAAGGAAAGAACTAGCAAAGTCTGAAGTTCATCAAGTATCGCGGGCGCGTGACTATGTTTCATGAGTGGACCTCACTGATCTAAAAAATATGGCTGTTTGCCAGGAGTGGGATAAGCAATCTTTCAATTTTCAAAAATATATATTTGCAAAATCACGTTTCACACAATAAGCTTGAAAAAATTAATGTTTGAAGAAACAAGAAAAATTTATGGACTATGAGAAATCGTAAAAATGGGGCAAGTTTGCTAAAAATGATTAATGTTTATGAATTTTGTTGCTTTAACTTTTGCGGCAGTTTGCGTAAAACATGAACTATTTTCCTTTCCAACGAAGTTGTAACTTTCCTAACTAAATTATCCTGTTTAACTATTTAAAAAAAAAACTTAAAATGTAAAGGAGAACAAATTGATTTGAAGTCGGAACTTAAATTACCAAACAATTTGAACTATTTACGTTTACGGCAAATGTAGTTTTAATAGTTGAATGCAGAACATTTCAAACTGATTTTACGAAGCGTTTCAAGTGAAATTTTGCATTAAATCAAAACAAACAAATAGCAGAATAACATACCTACAGTATATATTTCGGAAATTCATTGTTGTACAGCTAAAAGTCCTAACCTTTCAACTATTTTTCCGGTTTGTACAAAAAAAAAAAAAATTGAAAAATATCGTGTTGTCATGGCAACACTTGAACGAGCATGCGTTCAAGTATTGGCCATTTCCAAATACTTCATGTTAATTCGATGTTTGGAAAATATAGGAGAGGGGTTGCTGCATGCATGTATTTCCAGTTTATGGAATATTGTGCGTCTATATTTGGACATATTCTAATAAATATTTTAATTTGCCATTACATTTTGAGAGGAACTTCCACCGAAGCGAGCAACAGTCAACCACGTCACAATCATGACCCACTTTGCTGAAAACTTTCTTTGACGAACGAAGTATTTTCTTATTTCATCAGAAACTCGTATTCGAATAGCACGATCTTGCGTTTCTCTGTAATATACAACGCCACCCTTTCTAGTATCGACATCTGCCCAGAATGGTGCGATGAGACGGCGATCACTGTCAAGTGGAAACGGATCTGGTGTGTATTGTGAAACCTGGCGAAGGAAAGAGATCACCCCATTCGTGTTCACCTAAAAGTAATTTAATGAAATATTGTGAAGAAAATCTACGGAGAATATAAAAGCGCCTTTATACGTTTCTCCTGCTTCCCAAAAACAGAAGTAAGGAGGCTCCCCACAGTTTTAACGTTATTGCGCACAACAACTGTGTTTTAAGGCCAATTATTTCCTCAGTTTACAAGATATGATCACGAAACTTACACACTGACATTGCGGCTATACTAGGAATTACGAAAAACAAAAAGTGACGTTAAATATTCTCGTTGCCATGGTAACAAGGTAATTTCAAAACGATTGTATTTTCGAATTTCTTTTTGAAATTCCTAGCTTCGGCAAAACTTTTGTATTTTCTGCACACATGAAGCTGACGCTTAGTTACTTCAAAATCAGAGTTTTTAAAAACAAACTTTTTTAATTTAAATTAAACTAAAACCGGCTCTTACGATTATTTAAAAGTGACATATAAAGTTTAAAACATTTTCACCGAAGGAAACACGAGAAGAGTACAGACACCAGAAAAATCATGCTTTCAGTTTTCCCGCGGGACTATTCCCAGGACTATTCGCGGGACTTATAAGAAACAATACTAAACATTAAAACGTACAAAACATACTGAACAAATGTTTAAAAACTGATTATTAACAACATACTACATTGTAATTTCAACTTCGTACGATTTAAAAACACTGATGTCGTTCTTTTCAAGATAAGAAAGAGAAAAAAAATATTTCGCCGAATCGCCAGCGTGTGCAGGAAAAAGACCACGCCATTTTTTACGCGCGCGACACACACAGGACGGCTGACTAAATCAACTTCAAATTGCAGTGCCCGTGCCAAGTTTGGCACCATATTCTGCCTGTGAGTTTGTTTGTTAGTTTGTTCGCATCAATACGTTTCCTTAATCGCCTAGTAAAAATTCCGTGCACATGCTCGAAATTTATTCATTTTTGCGGGAAAATTAATTAATCTTGGACTCTCAGGACCGACTGTTTGCTGGGCTTTATCTCTGATTTTTTGCGCCAAACAAGAACAAAAATACCACTGTTCGAATCAGCGTAAACCTTTGTATTTATGGATGGGAAATTGATTTCAAAATTTCTATCCCAACGATTCATGGCTTTTGAAAGACAAGCCGCTCAAAATAATCCCTTCATGTTTTCTGAGTTCCTTTTTTCGAGGAAAGTTTTCTTTCCAATTAATCTCGGACTCTGCCTTATCTCTGGTTTTATGCGCCCAATAAGGACAAAAATACCACCGTTCGATTCAGCGTAAGGAATTGTACTTACAGATGTCAAAAGTATTACTAAACAACAGTATTTTAGCGATTTATGGGCTTTGTCTTTCAAAGCGAAGCGAAATTGTATTCTTGACAAATCGCTCGCAGTACGTATTGTTGACAAATCACACGCAGTACGTTTGTCTTTGTATATGTAATGGCGCAATAAGGATAAAAATACCACTGTTCGATTCAGTGTAAGAAATTGTACTTACGGATGTCTCTGTACGGATGTCAAATGTATTACTAAACAACAGTATTCTAGCGATTTATGGGCTTTGAAAGTCAAGCGAAATTGTATTGTAGACAAATCGCTTAAAATTAATAAAATTAATTAAGGTTACAGGACACCCTTTTTGGCGTTTTGCGGAAAATCGCTACTGCGCGCTCAAAATCAGTCCAATTTAAATTATTAATTACAAAAACTGCTATCAATGTTTGTCCCACGTCCTGTAAACTCTCAAGAATAACAAAAATAGGTAGCCAAAAAGTTAATAAATAAAGCCTAAAAAATTACATAATTATATAAGAATGGACAAATAGGATAAAATATCTTACAAAAATAATATTTACAAAGTTAAAATGTCTTGAAAGATAAACTATTTCAAAATCATAGATCTTCGTATTGTTGCTGGTAATGGATTAAACAGTTTTGCTCCACCGAAGTAGAAGCTCTGCTTAGCTAATTCCAGCTTAATTCGTGGCAGTTTAATAGAAATGCTGTTGTTTCTCGTTTCTTTCTTATGATTAACCATTTGAAAATAATTGTCGAGTGTATCATGTTCAAAATTCTTCTGGAGACACTTTTCCACCATAGAACAAATTTGCGATTGCACCAGTTCTTTGGTATTCGGTATAGATTCGGTGCCAATCACCTTGCACGCGCGTCTCTCAAACGATATAAACTTTGCTAGTTGAGAGTCAGTAAAAATTGTTTTGATGGTACTACTATAGATTAGAATTGGTAGTATCATTATATTGTGGATATCAGCTGACGCTGCTGTCAAATTTCTGTGGACTGATTGGAGTAAACGAAGACGACCGCTTGCTCTCTTGTATGATCGGTTGAAATTTTCATTCAATGACATATGGCTATCTATCACATTTCCAAGATACACATATTCAGTCACGAAGTTTATCACGGTGTTGTTATACGTTATATTTAGGTTTTTTCCACTTTTTCTAAGCCTTTGCGACGTTCCAAAAAACATTACTTCCGTTTTGCCCTTCTTCAGGTTCAAGAGGAGTTCGTTTTGTTAACAATAATCTCTAATCAGATTCATATCTTCGTTTAAAGCATCCTCAATATTTTGCGCATCTTTATCAGCATACAGAATTACCGTATCATCCGCATACTTAATGATTTCAGAACTCTTGACTGATTCTTTGAATTCATTGAAAAACACTATAAACATTAAAGGACCCAAGATGGATCTTTGCGGCACTCCAGTGGTAATAGTGCTTGGCCTGGAGCAATTGTTTTGCATTTCAACCACTGAGTTCTATTGAACAGGTAATCTGTAAACCTAGCAAGTTCAGGGCCTACAACACCATACGCAGGTATAACTTGCCCAAGAAAATACCATGACCGATAGTGTCGAACGCCTTGGACAGGTCCAAATATACACATCCAATGAGTTTTCCGTTACGTTGTCCAATTCTTTTCGTATTTTATCGCAAAACAATGTGGCAGCCAGCTTTGTAGGTCTGTTTCTACGAAAACCAAATTGGCAATCGTTCAACAGTTTGTTATTCTCCAAGAAGTTGTAAAATTGACGGTGGACTGCCTTTTCCAGAATCTTGGAATATATCGGAAGTATTGATATTGGTCGAAAGTTCTCTACTAGGTCTGAGTCACCAGATTTGAATATAGGCTTCACTTTAGCTGATTTCCAAATAAGCTGGCACCGTACTTGATTTGATTGATAAATTTATTATATGTGCCAGGAGTTTTGCAATCACAGTTGCACAGTCCTTTGTCAAGTTTGGAGGGAGGTCGTCGATACCAGTAGCTTTACTTCGCTTCAATGATCGGAGTTCTTTCTCAACAAAGATTGTAGAAACGAATGAAAACTTGAAAATTTCGTTCGTACGTAAAACTTGTGTATTATTGTTATGACGCCAAGCAAAATTCACCAAAGGAAAAGCTTTTGATTTTAATTCTCGAGCAACATTAGCAAAATAATGGCCAAATTGTTGCCCTTGCATGGTATGTATGGTACCATGCATGGTATGCATGATATGATACCATGCATGGTATGCATGGTATCATTTATCATTTTTAAACAGTAAAATAGTTGTTCTAAAAAATTGTGTTCGGAATTTTTTGTTTATTTCGGCATTCCGCTGATATGGTGGCGATTTCTTTGACGACTGCAATATATTTCTGAATTGTTTGAGTGAATTGCTCTTTATTATTAAAATATCCAAAATTAGAACAAAGCCGAATAAAATTTTGAAAGTGACGTCTTTTGCTATGTCCTGTGAAAATTTGAGAAAAATTGGATAAAACACGCAGGAGAACAACTCGTTTGAAAATCAGTAATTACCGTAAATTTCTTCGGGAGAAAATTGAATTTGAATATTACATTTTCAATGCTTTTCGTATTGCAGCGAAATGTATTTTATTAAATAACTCTGCGAGTTTTCAACATTTTTCGCTCAAACTTGGTCAGGTAGTAGAACTAGTCTAATGCTTTCATGGAAACCAATAAAAAAGTTTTTGGCAAAATTAACACTCAAAGGTGTTCTGTATAACCTTAAAAATGCAGTACGTTTGATCCTTAAACAACTTCGGTATCGTTGGTTTTCTCTTTTCAACCGTCGACGTCTACCAGTATATTCGTCTCACTTTTCTCTTTATTTTGATAGTATTTTGAGCCCAAAAATTTCAATTTTGAAGGCTTTAAAAGGCAGTATTGACCCTAACGTATGGACCAACTGGCAGCCGACAGGAGAATGTTATGCACCAGTCAATGTAAATCCACCCCCCCCCCCCCAACTGGGGAGGGGGCGGGAATTTAGCGGGGAAAGTGGTCAGTTTTGATGGTAAATATGTCCCGATGATGGGGGACTTGGACAACATTTTCTCTTTGGGTAGACGATGCGGGGAAGAAAGCGGGGGAATGGATTCAGTGGTTAACATATATACCCTGTGTTGCTGTTTTAGTTTTCTTTACAAGAAAAGTTTAAATACAATAACATAAATGAATTTGATTTTCTATTGCTGATCTATGAAATATATACAAAACTATTTTCCCGTGGTTGAGAAACATGCAGGGACATTGATTAATTACGCTTTCCCCGGGAGCGGGGACAATTTCGTTCTTTTACTATACCCCTCTAAGTCAAAATTCCCGCCCCTCCCGGGTTGAGGGGGGGGGGGCAGGGGTTTACATTGACTGGTGCATTATAATGCAGGCAATGCAGCCATTGCAGCGTGCTAAATATAACTTTACTTGTACATGTAGGCGGAAACGCCGGAAGTTTTATTTGTAGGCGGGCACCGCATTTAGTACAGTGTCTGGTTCTACTAATAGCTGTAAGGAGCCTCCGTAAATCATTCTTTGTATAATTTTCTATCTCTGATAAAAGAATGATTACTCTCGATCCTATATAGCTCTTATTTCATTTTAAATTAAGTCTAGATCTAGATCTTGGCAGTATGCACGCGGAATTTTAACATTTAACTCGCTGTATTTAAATACGAAAAATACCGTGTGTTCGCGCTTAGGAGTTTAAGGTTTAGTACCTTGGGTTCAGAAGTTTTCTGGTGTCAGGCGCGTTTAATTTTAGGAGGCGACAAGGCGGAGAAAACTTCTGGGCGCGACCTGTCGAATTTCATTTCCATGACGGAATTTATTAATGTTTCACATTTCCGGTCTGAAAGGCGAAGTCAAGTATATACGCATTCAAACGGATTCAACACAAACATATTCCCTTGACCAAGCAGCTGTCAAGTAGATATTTAATACTTGTGAAATATGTCAATGATAGTTATTGAATTGCCACTTTTATATAAGTTCGATATAGAACGTTTTGTATCTGTATTGGAATTTACATTGTGTAATTTACACTAGAAAATACATGCATACAGAAACCCCTCGCCTTGCTGACAAAACCATTGTACTTTCCGGACATGAAGTATATTTAAAGTAGTTGTCATGGTAACACCATAATTTTCTTAAGAATATTTTTTCAAATGAAAAATCTCCCTAAAAATATCACTTTTAATTACAAAATTATCAATTCCCAAAACATATATGTATGTTATGGTATGATATTAATATAGGCAATAGCATGATATTACTTATTAATAATTTACATAAAAATGTTCGAGACAATTGTAGTTTTAACTTACGTTCAGGGTCGCAGCTACGGAGGGGGGGGTGGGGTGTGACACCCCAGACATTTTATTCGAAGCTGCAGTCGGCAGGACTGCTATTCTAGTCGGCAGACAAAAATATTTTTGAGGAATAAAACTACTACCCATATAATTTTCATCTGTTATATAAGAAACGGAAATTTTGGTTACTCGAAATTTATTCAACAGGATATAATCATTATAATCCGTTAGTAAAACAAGCCCAGAATTACAGTTAAACCATATAGCGATACAGAAGATCATCATGTTTGATAGGTAGAACCGCTGAGCACAATATATTCCGGCCAAAAACTCGATTATCAAATATGGCAATTTAGAACAGGCTTCATTTAGAGCACAACGGGCGTAATTTCAGGGACGGCGAAGCAGGGGGGAGGCCTCCAATAATTATCCATACATACGTGATTTCTATAAACTAAGAATATTGAAATATTTCAGATCAGTTAACAATGTATTTCTAACTTACGCAGCCGAGTATATTAGATTAAGAGTCGTCTATTAAGAAACTTTTTAACAGAAACTAGTAAATTTGATTGCATTCCAAGTGCTCTGGGCCAGGTCTCAGATTTCAAAATTTCCCGGGGGAGCATGCCCCCAGACCCACTAACAAACTCACGCCTTTTGGCGTTCGCTATAGCCCCCTTAATCCAAAAATGGCTCCGCGATCCCTGAGTTTAGTAACTTTAGTTGACTATCGTCGGAAATTTTACAAGCTTCCATGGCAAGCATGTGGTCGGTACAAGCTCGTTCGTCAGTCGGTTGACATGACCTTGCACCCCCCTGTAGAATTTCCTGAGGACGGCCCTGCTTACGTTTAATATAGCGAACATTCCACTAGCAAATTTTTCCGGGCTTTGTTATATCACATTATACAACGCTAACAGCTTCAAAATTCCACTCAACTATGTAAGTTTTGTTAGGCTTGTTTAAGGCAAAGGCTTTTCCGAATTAAAAAAAGAGATAAAAGCCATATTTTTCATCCGAAGTCAACTTTCACTTCGTGTAGGGCGGCGCCATGTTTGTTTTGTTTTGAAGCAATCTGTGACCCTTACTTCTTTAAATTAATCTGTTTAAAGTGATTGGTTGATTTAATTATCACAATGTTTTTCCACCAATCAGATCAGTTTGTTACAAATTTTTGCACTGTGATTACAGAAAATTGCACTGTGATTACAAAAAATTGCACTGTGATTACAGAAAATTGCACTGTGATTACGGAAAATTGCACTGCTGTTTGGGATTAACTGCACTGAAATCAACCAATTACAGTCGAGTAATATCTTTATGTATATTATTATAATTAATATAAGCTTCAATTTAAGGTGAAGCTCAACCGCAAACGCTTTGCAAGACGTTTTAAAATGTGCTATGTAAAACTAAACTGCCTTTATCGGAAAACTTTGAGTTTGGAATAAAATGATTTCAAATTCTCGCATTCAAACAACTCTGCTTTCTTTTTTATTTAAACATTTTAATATTAATAATAAAAAACTGGTTAATCAATAAAGAAACACTGAAATTATATGCTGTCTTTTTCACTTAAAATATACGCAACGATCAGCTTTTAAAGCCGTTATAAAGCGAGCAATACATCAATATTTAAAACAAACCTACCTTCGTTAACGTCGGCGCCTTTACTCCCTTCTTTTAGCAATTCTTTCGCCTTTATATTCTTAATTAAAAAGGTTTTCTTAAAAAAATCACAAAATCTTGCAAAAATAGTATATTTGCAAGAATGTTTGCTATTTCGCTGTCGTCATGCAGTCGTTAAAATCCAATTTTAAATTTGACCAATCAGCCACGCCCGCGATTATTGATGAACTTTAGACTTCGCTAATGCTTTTGTTTTCCCGGGTGTAAATAGCCGGGCGGAATTAGTACCTTCGCCCCGCGGGTTTACGGAAAGGCGCTCCGCGCCGTTGGCTCGGGGATAAATATTTTATAATATATGTAGCCCAAATACCTTGCCGAGACTGATTTTTTGTTTATAACGATTCACGAATTCCATAATACGGGCTACACAATTCAGTAAAAGAAATAGATGCAAACAACGGACCATTTGCGTAATAGACTAAATTTTCGACTGACTCACTGACATGCAAAGGCCATTCACTTTTCTTTATTTAAAAATTAGTTTCTATCTTAACACGAGACTTTCGAAAGATAAGTAAACGAAGTCTCTACAACAAAAATTGGATGAGCTTGCATATGATTTGTAATCTTGTTGTCATGTTGTAAACAATGTAAAGCGGCTACAAAATTGACCCCTAACTTCTAAATATCTGATCGTATAAACTTGATTCAAACATTTTCCGATAGCTTATTTCTCGAGGATTAAAAATATATAAAATTTGCCTTGTCTTGGAGCAGCAAGTATAGGAAATTTTGAACAACAAATCAATTTCGCGCATTGACATTAATTAAGTGGTCTTGATTTATTACACCCCAAAATTAGGGGTGTAAAATTCTAGCCGATGCCAGGGCCTTCTCAGCACGAAGGCCCTGGGGACGAGGTTGCGTATATGGATGAAAAACGAGAAACTATCCATTTGAAACTTCCCTACATTAATGAAGAACTTAAACGACGTGCCCTTTCAGTAATACGTAGAGCAGGAATCAACAAAGTCAAAATTATTTTTATGAACGGCAGACCTTCATCACGAGTATTTGCCCTACCGAGAGATAGAGCAAGCTGCCGGGAAGATTACGAAACATGTAAATCAGCAATTAAATCTACAAAGTGTCTGACAAAGAATGTTATTTATGTGATCACATGTTCACATTGCGGAATTATAGTATATGTTGGCGAAACCGGTAGGACAATTGGGTCATGCACGAATCGAAGAACACGGCTTAAAGATGGACAAACAAACTGTGTAAGAGTGGACGACCTGATCAAATCTGACATAACTTGGAAAACATTGCACAAAAATGTATAACATACCAAGATGAACGCAAATGTATTGAAGCTTTTGAAATACATAATCGTACGTAGCGAAAAAATATTATTATGAACGGTTGCATAGGAAGAACAATTAGTATTTAGTTAATAGATATTTAATAGGCCGGCCAGCTTGTATATTAAGAAACGTTCATATTTTAATAAGTAATATTCCACTGATGAAGCCTTGACCGGTGAAACGTCTGGAAAATAAAATAACATCTTTTTGAACTTTTTATTCCAATTTTATTCCAATATATGACCTTTCATATATGACCAACAGTCTGGATAGTAGACTGTGATAATGCGTCACCGAAACTATAGATCAGATTATGATTCCCAGCTCTGTCATACCTTAGATCTCCAGACTATTGCAAATAAATGTGACTACGGTAGATCAGTGTAGTAAATAAAACGAACAGTATTAATTTAAATAGATTGTATTACAAGTTGGTTTTACTGGTCACATTATGAATTATGATACTGTAAGGTCCTGTAACAGCAGACGGTTCGGGCAGCTGGGTGTTATTCCACTCATGAGAAAGGAATGTCAATAGACACTTCGAGAATTGCTGCGCCTTCCGCCTCAAATTCAGGCTGTTGTAGTTGTATGTATCACAAGTGTGTATTACTTTCATTATTATGTAGCTTACTTAGTAGTCTTGTATCTGGAAGGAATAGTGCATCAGAGAGCCAGTTTTAATTCCTTTGTTCTGTCATAACATACACATACGCAAGTCCACCAATTCAGAAGTACTTTATATCAAATTACAGTAATTATATATGTAAGAACTGTACTTACAAAGAGAGATTCGTGCTCATCGTCAAAGAATGGAAATCGAAATCCAATATTTACACGACCAGTACTACCATCATCATTGGTCGGTACCGAGGTATCTCCGTTCTCTGATCCATAAGGATAGAAATCTTTAAGTTCAATACGCATATAAACAACTTGGAAAATGTTAAGGAAAACGAAAGCCAGTGCAACAGACTTCATAACTATATTCTGTCCTTCGATGTACTAAATGACGCTTCTTAGAAATAATACGTATCATCTACATATGTACATTAATTAATATCAACAGCTAGAAACCATTTGAATGCAAATTATGCTTATCGTTTATTTTGCTAAATCAACTCAACGTTAATTTGTCTCAGCATGTTGCATACAATGTGACAATCGTCTCAGCAATATGTAAATTAAAACTATTCACGATTTAATCTCCTAAAAAAGCAGAAGAAACATGAGACATTGCAAAACTGACCTGTACAAATTCTGGAGGACGTGCTTCGTCAAAAAAGTGAAGCAAAAAACATGGGTATGGCTGATTTTGACGCCATTTCCATGAAATCAGTTCCGAAAACCTGATGGTAATTATCACTAACCACCCTCAATATTTTGATTCAGCTACAACTTTCTTGTGAGTTCTATATATAGATGGGGCAAGAACTTCAGTCATTCAATCTATCAGAAAAGTGAGGCCAAGCTGCCGGAAATTGACATGCAATAGCTATATGAAAGTGGTAAACAATTTTAATTAGTTTTAATATCATTTTTCCCAATTAATTCCAGCTTTCTCTGATGGATCATATCGCAAAACAAGTTATCAGTTCATAGAACCATGGTGTTATTCTTTAAATCAAGGTGAACATACGATATTTTGGTACTCTCCTTGCCAGCTTCGTGTTAACTGCGCAGACAAAAACAATAGAATGGAACTGGAACTCATGTCAAATAGCTCTTCAACTTCCGCCATGTTGTCTTCAATTTTTTGACTCGAATTCTCACTTCAGATATATGGAGCTCACTGCAACTCTCATGCCCCACTGACCTTTGGAGAAGTAGGTTTTTGCAGATAATAGTTCTCGTTGTTTTGAATCGTTTTATGGGGCTTTTCTGTCGTTGTTTTCGGCGTCACAAACGTGACGTTCCATCAAGGCATCGCATGCTTAGGGTGCAGCGATTGAGAATGCTATTTACTCTCTCATCTACTAACAAATCCGTATTTGTATACTTCATAGAAGGTTCATCTGCCATTTTTTCATTTATTAGGGACCTTAAGCAAGAGAGTTTTTGTCAACACGGACGTCAGCAGCCTAATCCCTAAGCCTCTTAAAGATGCGGTACAGTCCGTATCTAAACAAAGGCTTTGTTTACATTTCGGTATGCAAAATATTGAATTTTATTCGACAACTATTTATATTTTTATGATTCTAGAGTATAATAAATTATCAGGAGACAACAATCAAGCTTTGCAAGAACATAAAATGAAATAAAAACCTAAATAAACTGTTGGTAAATAGAAAGAGGGCTCCTTTGTGCACATGCGCAGATCGGACTGTACCGCATCTTTAAGCCTAGTTTCCATTTGGTCGTTAGTTGTCGCTGGCACGACAAGCGGTAGATGTGAAATAGTCTAATATAATAATAATCTGTGTGTTATATGCAAATCAGTCTTAATGATTGCAGAGTTTTGTAAAAGTAAAAGTAGAAGTGATTAACAATAAAAGGACTTGAGTAAGAGTAAATAGTACAGGAGGCAAAACGTACAAAGTATCCTTAAAAAATACTCGAAGTAAAAAGTTAAAGTAAAAGTAAAAGTACTGTTGTCTGTAGCGTGTAGGGGGGGGGGGGTCTCCAATGAATTGACATAGAAAAGACACCAAGCAGAACATGCATTATATGCTGCACCTAATTGATACAATATTCCACAGCATGGTCTACTTTGCATGGTCTACTTTTAAATAGCCCGGAGGATATTAGGATACTGTCTATTTTGACATTAGTTCTTTTTTATCTCCTATCATGCATTATACACTTTAACAATTTCTTCAACTTCAACAGATATCTGTTGATACATGGCATTGAAATGTTGTTTAATTCTTCATTTGCACATGTTGATGGTTTCCGCCTTTTTGCTTCAACACTCTTGACCTTGAAAAATGACCTTGTGCACTTTACCGTCAACCTGTATTAAGTAATTATATAATTATCAGTAATATTTGAGGATTTAAATATAAACAAATTCAACAATATTAGACTGTTTTGGTATGAGAGAGATACAAGCAGACCTTCGACGTTTCGTGCGAAGGCCCTTCGACACGCCTTTGCTTGAAATATCGAAGTGCTGCAGTCTGCATGCTTGTATTTTTCAGGCGGTAGTTGTACAATCTTTCTCAATCCGCAGCTGTCTGGTTATCTTTATTTTATTTTTATTTTAACAAATTTATTCCGATCAAATTATTATAATATAAGTTCACTATGTACAGAAAGAAAACAACAGATTGTCGCTAACTACACTGCCACTGGCACAGCTGACTTTTCGAGATTACTACAATCTTAGCCTTTCTAGATCAAGTGAACACACATTTTTATGTAGATTCTATATCTGAGCATAGTTAATAGAGGAGATGGTTTGAAAACTCATTAGCATTACAATAAACCTCACTATCTATGTTTTTGTTCAGGTTTATGCAAAAATGTGGTCTTTCATCGTCACATGCGTATTGTATTTTTGCTCATCCAGCCAATAGCAACGGTTTTGTCCAATTGCCCATCCACGACTTTAACAATAGGACATTTTGAACATTCCTATTGGTTGACTTGAGAAAAATACAATACGCACGTGACGATGAAAGACCACATTTTTGCATACTGCTTGAACAACTGCATAGATAATGAGGTTTATTGTGATTTTATTGTAATGCTAACGAGTTTCCAAACCATCTCCTCTATTAATTATGATCTGAGGTACTATCAATCTGTACTATAATTAATGGCTTTTTGACATTTCATGAACGAAAACTCACTTATCTTATTAACTTGCCGTGCAATTACAAAAATGTAAATATAATTGCTGAGAAACGTTTAAATAAATAGTCGAGTGAGTCGATACAGGGTCACTCATAGTAGTATAGGAACTGCCGGTTCGAGACCACTAGTTTCGGAGTGAGACCACTAATTTTTACCTTCGGCAAAAATTAATAATTTATTTTTATTGTATTAAAATTAATCATTTATTTTTATTATATTAAAATTAATCATTTATTTTTATTATATTAAAATTAATGGTCCCGCTCGTCAATGAGTGTTCCCGATCCACGGTCCATTTATTCGGAATGTGAAACTGCTATTCTGAGGTCTTTTTCATTTAACTTATCTCAGAGCTTCGGGATCACCTTATTAGTCCAGCTGAGACTTTAGTATGATTCTAAGCTTTTCCGATATCGTCCAGTTTTCCTATTCCAAGGCCTCTCCGTCAGATATTAGTTCTGAGCACTGATTAATACTTCCTACAACCTCCACAGTACCCATTTTAGTTGTCACACTCAGATTACAACTATTCACCGTTCTCTTCTATCAAAATATCAGGGATTCCCGAACCCTTAAACCTCTAGATTCCCAATATCGTCCAATTTTCCTATTCCAAAGCCTCTTCGACAACTTTTACTTTCTCCTTGAGGGTACATAAGGGAGTGTGCCTTTGTAGTCCGGATACACTATTGGCATCATCCTTTTCACCATGTGTGGTTACTTCAACCTTAATATCATTGGATACAGAGAAATTTATATCACCAACCTTCCCATTTTTATTAGACCTTTTACGACAGCCACAGATTTTACCCATACATGAGAAGCATGAACGCCACTCTGACATGATACTTTATGATACAACACATGTTATCCACCTGACCCTGAATACCGCAATGACCAGCAAAAAGACAAGTACATACTCGTACCAGTTGGCATTCAGTGTTCCGGTTGAAATATAATACACCAGGCTAGCGTGTTATCTACCAACTCAGCCTGGTTTCCTATGTCATATTATTAATAGTATCTGTTCTCCATGAAGGTGGAATTTGATTGTGACAGTAAGCATAGTACCTTGTTGCTGCAACTGATACTCCGCGATATCCCCAGATCCACTGTGAGTAGATATGGTGATTTTTTCTTACATATCTAACATCAGCTGTTGCCTGGACAAGGCCTGAGGAAGATTTCAGGAAATTATTTTCCACCCATTGCTTGTTAACTGCATCTTTATCATTTACCGGATCCTTCAGATCAAGAATACCACTTGAATCTCCCATATCCAAATCACCCTTCACCAGTCCACCTCTACTACCCATGAACTCATCTGTTGCCCATCTATTATTTACAGCGGAACCATCCGTAGTAGGTAGGCCCTCCCCGATTGTGCTCGGCAACTTTTTAGCAACTTTTGGCGTTTGGAGCAACTTTTTTCGGTTATAGTAACCTCAAGCAACATTTGCGTTTCAGAGCAACTTTTTTGCAAATTGCAGGTTTACTGTGTAAATCATCAATCATTTTAGCCAAAAAATTAAAAGATTTGATAAATGATAATATAAAAAACATTTTCTGATGATAATTTATTACAGTGTAATGTTTTAATATCGCAGTATAGTGTTTTGATCAAACTACCTGTCACTGACAGGTAGTTTTAAGGTCAAACAGCAAACTACCTGTCACTGACAG